AGAGAGAGAGAGAGAGAGAGAGAGAGAGAGAGAGAGAGAGAGAGAGACAGAAGACCATGCAAAAGAAATAAGAAAACAGAGAGAGAATGGGTCTCATCCCAGCAGGTGGAAGCAACAAGCAGTGAACTGAGAAGTATTGTAGAGTATAGACTGGAGAATTATTTGGCTTGTGATGAAGCAGACTGTGTTGCATACTGCTGCTGTAGCCTGTATGGCACACATATAAATGGTGGCGTGGTAGGAAAAGCCAGACTGGTATAAAAGTCCACTCACCTTCACGTTAGATGAGATATCCTTACAGAAAGAAATAACAGAACACAGTAGAGGACGAATCAACAAAAGAGCTTTTAAGAAGCACACAGCTAGGAGAACACCAGGGGAGTTGGCTCATACTAACACAATAATCAAATAATTGAAGCCGTGAGAGGGAGATGAAACCACTTTGGGCTGTAGGATTATGGGATTTAGAGTTCTTCAGGGTGGAAGTCTGGGAGAGGAGCTACAGTGCTGTCCTGTTTAGAAGCGGTAATCCATAACCATAATTTGAAGCAATATTGAAATGGATCAAAGGGACTTTGGGGGGGTGTTTGCAGCTATGAGCACAATGGGATCTCTTTGCCACAACAATGCAACTGCTCTGAGGTGTGCTGCTGAGGTGTGATAGTAGGTACCAGGCTGACTATCAATGCTGTACAGCAGATCGTAGAAGAATCATCAGTTTAATCTGCAGGGCACAGCTAACCTTCTAAGTCTACCTTTTTGCTTAGTACCATTGCAAAGTTTTTTCACAGCATCTAACATGATTTACAATCGGAAAATACTTGGTCAACAAATGTTCATAGAGCAGTTTTTAGTGTTTATTCATCATTCAGTTACATGATCAGTGCCACCCTCTACGTACAGTATATACACTGCAACTCGGCTGAGTGCACCTTTGTGTCTCACCTTGGTTTCTGTGCGCCGTGTGGTGCCGTCATCAGAGGTGACCACGGAGACATGGGAGGTGGGGGTGCCAGGGTCCTCCTCTATGGTGACCGTCTCCTCCACCACCTCCTGTGGCTCCTGCATCATAGCCAGGGATGTGGTGTTGCTGGGGCTCTGCTCCTGCACAGACGGGGGGGGAGACAAGACATCAAGAGTTAACAGATTTTTATATTCAGTTGTTAGATGGCAAGAAAAACAGCACAACATCCAGGTAATCTTCCATTAGACATACGGCGAGATGGAATTGTAATTGGGCCACAGCAGCAACAAATTATATTAGAATCCAGCAGAGCAAAATAGAGCATAAATAAGAACATTGCAAATGTAGGGTATTAAATATAATGCCACCCACAATTTGCAATGCAACAGTCAAGCAACTAGGGGGATGCAAAGTGTGAAACACAGTACATAAATAATAATGTGTAGAAAATAACAGCACAAAAATATACTGAGACGCAGCGATGAATGAAAAGTGTTTTTGATACAAAAATAAGCAAATGTGCAAATGTGCAGAATGAAAATATAATATAACTAGTGATTTCAAAATTGGAAATATTTAGATAATACATAATCACAATAAATGATTTACTGATTTACTTTGTCTAATAAATTCAATCTACTTAATTAAATACCAGCTTATTTATGGACAGGTCATGCAGATTCACATGTACACAATCGGGAGGTGCCACTAAGATGCCCATGAATTCTTAAAAAAACAAAACAGATACGGTTCAATAACAACATTTTTGAAACTTTGCTGCCAATGTTATCAGAATTATTTATTAGCTCAATATCTGCACATAGCAAATAGAGTATTACTTACGCTAGGAATAAGTTTAGGTAACTAAAAAAAAGGTCAACTATAGTACAAGCCCATCTACTAACCTCTCCACACCCGTAAGTAACCTAGTAGCAAGACTAGTTTCCTCAGAACAGCTTGAAACAGCACTCTAAATAATACGTCCGTAAGCACGCACTCTTGACAATGCCTATATGAAAAACAACAATAATGTTCTAGTTTGTTTCTTGTCCTGACACGCCATGATTTATTTAGCCCTGATATTATATCCAAACACTGCAATGCAGGGTAGCAACTCCTCACCTCTTGAGACTTTAAATTGAGTTAAAGCTTCTTTCAAGGCAAGCAAAAGCCTGGAGCACTGCTTTTGATTCATATTTCATTGGGAGACCATGTATTTAGAGAAGTAGTGTCCATGGGCTAAGGATGAAAGTGAGTCCCTCACACCCCCGCCTGACCCTGTGTGAATCTGTGAGAAATACAGTCTTCCTGTTGATGGAAATTGATATGAAGTCAGTGGTCGGAAGTGCAACGCCCTGGCACAGCCCGCTGCTGTGCATGAGTGTGACAACATTACAGCTCTCGTAATGGAGAGGGGAAGGAAAGCATTTGAGGCAATCATTGATAACCAAAACAGCACAGAGCCAAGAGAGGGAGAGGAAATCAAAAGTAATGAAGAGGGAGGAGAGGGAAAGAGTTGGACAGTGTAGTAGAAAGAGTTTTTCTTTTAAAGGGGAAAAATATGAAGCAGGTGTTTGTGTACTAGATAGATTTAACTGACCTCTGTCTGACAATCCATTTTTATTGTGTGCACTGTTCCTTTAGCTACGTGAAGGACATTTTAATTGTATTCACAAAGTTAAAAAACACCCACCAATTTATGTCCAAAATCCTTTTTTTTTTAATTAAACCTTTGACAACCATTAATCGTAATCCAAATATAAAAGATCAAAGCAATGAAACACAAAAAAATCTGCCTCAGCGTCCGCCCTAATATCTTAAACCATTTGCAAATTCACCTCACGTAGAAAAACATTAAAAACAACTGAACCAAGCAGACTATTTTTGTCGACCAATTACACAAAGCTGGAGGGAGAAACAGAAGGCCAAGGAGAGAGCAAGAGGAAAAGTTTGAGTGTTGTTCGCCACAGTGTTTGGTTGAAACACTACAAGCGACGCCTTATGGTGGGAGACTGCTTGTTTTCTTCACCTCTTGGAAGAAACTTACAAGTAAACAGTTCTCCACTGATTGGCCAACTCCTCTCAGGCTTCAAAGCCCCACACAGTCGCCATTGATCTTCAGTCCTTTCTGCTGATCAGACAGAAGTTTGCACTTTTTCTGTTGAGGATCTTTTTCGACTAATCCCACAACCCTTCAGCCTCCTAACGTGATCTGCCAAATGAGTACACGTAATTGGAAACTGTTTGGAAAACGGCAGGCACTTTCAAAAATACTTGGCATGGGATTGGCTGAACCATCCCGTCAATCAAACTCTTGCCAAAGCCAGTCACGAGAAGAGCTCCATCTTTTCCATCAAGAAAAGCTTTCAGTGCCGGTCTTTGCTCTTTTTTCATTGAAGAAATACTCTCCGGTTCTAATATAATGGAAGCTATTACAGCCTCTACGCTAACCTCTTTAGGAGCCACAATTGTTCTGTCGATCAACAGTCGTACGAACGTAGCTGTCAGTCGCACCTCACAGGAGGCTGATTGGTCTGTTCTCCGGGCTGGCTGCTGGAAAGAAACCGGTCCCTTGATTTGGTTGTATGCATAACCTCCTTCAGCAATACCAAGACACTGAAAACGTTCTCTATTTACCTGCACTACTCTATCCAGTAACTTAGAGTCAATTTGCACCATGAACTGAGCTGAGTTAGGTCATTACCCTCGGAGAAAGGTTCTGAAGTCCCATTATTGGGGTTAATGACTGGGAAGGCTTTCTGCTGTATAGGAGGAGACACATTTATTTACACACAAGCATTGCAGAGCTTTACAACTGACCTCAGGCTAAACAGCACAGCTAGGCTGGGAAGGGCCTTCTAATGATATTCAGAAAAAGTGAGCGCTGATTAGTTGCCTCTAATTAACATCCTTGTTCTGTTCAATCATAAACGTGAATTACCTTCATGACTTGGCACCCGGTAATGAAAACAAAAGGTAAGAAAATTGAAGTCTGAGTGTGTACAGTACTACTGTAATTTTAAAATGTACAATGTTTAAAAATGTACAATCAATTTAAAAGGCACAAAATTCCGTATTCAGAGCATATCTAGGATTGAAGCATTGTCTCCACACGACTCAACATGGTGACGGCTGAGCCCGTGGCTAGCGGCTAACGGAGCTAACGCCATGAAAAGTGCAGACAACTGCAACAGTACTGACAGAGCTAACAGCATTAACCCAGGAGAAACCGGTAGCTGGGTGCTACGTTATCAGCGGTATAAAAGCAGAGAATTTTGAATTTAGCACCTTTACCAACCAGAATACAGCTTTGGTCAGACACAGAAACCCAAGGCTCACTGAAGATGCAAGGTGTTGCCGAGTCCCTTGATACTCATTGGCTGCCTGTTGCAATTTGACAGGTAATAGCAGCCTTTAAAGTTGAACTATTTTTCTACTTTTTACTTTGAAGAATGCAAGGCGCATACCTTTGAAATACATAACAGCATTTCTTCTTATTGTCATGTCTCTTTGTGAACACTCCATGAACAAACAACGGAATATTGTTAAAGAAAAACAATAGTCTAAGGCATTCGATTAAGATAATTAAGCCATGTGCATGTGTGTCACATTACATATTAAATGATTTATCTTTTCATTCTCTGCACAGAATTAGGCAGATACTGTGTATGTTAACTCTTCCTTACAAATTGAGCACAATCACTGTGAATGTTCCACCTCTTTCGCTCTCCGCTAATGAAATCTGGACAATTTAACTCCATTCCTATGATGTTTCATTTCTTTGATCAGGTGAATGCAGAGGGAACGCTGTCAAAACAGCGTCATGTAAAAAAAAAAAAAAAAAAAAAAAGGGAGCACCGTCATACACTAGTTTAAAACACATAGTGGACAGTCCTTGGAGGCCGACTGACAAACTGGCTTCTTGATCGAAGCTTAATTCATTTCTCTCGTTCACTTTCCTCTCGTCTCTGCGTGCACTAAGTGAGAGAGTGGAGTTGAACTCAACATTACAGCCCCTAAATAAATGATTAAAAGCCGTCTGGCTGTGGGCTAGCACGCCTTTCTGCCCGGTCCTGGGGGAATAACAGGCTGTTTCTGAGTCGAGTAGATTCAGTAAAGCTTACCCTTAAGTTGAGAGCGGGAGGAGAGGAGCACAGTGAGTTAATGGCTGACCTCAGAGAGATGAATGATAGAAGTAGAAGAAGGGTACGAGAGAGAATGTGGTAAGGGTGGGGGACGAAGTTCCAGCACATTCAAATCGTGTGGAAATGGTTTTGTATAAGCCAGTGGAAAAGTGGTAACCTCCAGGTTGTTCAGGCGAGCTTATGATCTGACGGTTGCAGGCTAAAATTCCCAATCAGCTGGATCAGGAAAACAAGGCAGAAGCCCCTCAGCTGAAGAGTAACCGAGCGTCCATGGAGCAAAGCGTCTCACCTCACCTGTTTGGAACAGTCTGGAACATCTATTGCTATTTTGAACAGCCTGCCATGAAAATGTGAAAGTCAGCAAGAGTCAAACCTGGATAAAGAGGATACAAACATATTAAGAGCACCTGGGAAAGAATACAAAACACAAGCTTTTATAAACCCAGGCAATCCTATCTGTTAAGGATCGGGTTTAACCAGACAAAAGAAACACATTTTAAGGTTCCTGAGCCCAAGTAAATAACAAAGCAACAGTATTGTCTCCTTGCCTAGCCTAAAAAGCCTTGCCAAGAGCTGGACCCCACTTCTGATGAGGAGAAAAGAGCTTGCAAGAGCTTTGCCATTTGGATCACTTCTGTTCAGTCAGCAGTAGAGGAGAGATTGAGGTCTCAAACAGACAGGGATTTGGCTCTTAAGAAGGCCTGAGGCTTTGTACAACCTGAACTTTTTTCAATCTGGTGTATTTGGCTTTGACTAGCAGTAGGAGGAGAACTTGATTGGTGGATGATGAAACCTCCTCTTCCTGGTCTGACACTGGCTAACCCCTGAAGGGATGAGGCTTGGAGTGTACTTGTACTATACTAAGAAAAGAAAATTCTACAGCTACTTTTGCTACATTACATCAAAGTACATGAAAGCATTGAGTACGTCCGGCCAAGAATGAGAAGAGACTCGTGCTCTTCCATAACTCAACATACAACATACGATCAATACCT